CTCCTGAGCAATTCATTTATATTTCCTAAGCTCTAGCTCACACAGCTTAACATTAAGGGGAAAAGATTAAAATATTAAAACATATTAAAATTTCTAAAATCCCTTTGAGTTGAAAACTCTGGATTTTCCTTCCTTCCCCCATTCCATCTTTTCCTTTTACAACCATTTGTGGGCAATTATCACGGTGAATGAAGAGCTGTCACTTTAAGGATGTTATGCCATTTATTATCTCTGGGACTGTCTAGAAAATACCCACATTAAATAAAAACGCCATCTCATGCTTCATGTGTTAATAACCCCATGTGATTCATGAACCATTGGTAGGTGAAAACAATACTGTATCTTTTTATTTTTAAAATTAACTTTTTTAAATTGAATTTAAACAGAGAAAGGGAGAGAGAGGGAAACATCATTGTGAGAGAGAAACATCTATCAGCTGCCTCCTGTACGTGCCCCAACCCAGGATCAAACCCAAAACCTGGGTATGTGCCAGGGAAAGAACCTGACTGGAAATAGAACCTTCACCCTCTGGCACATGGGACGACACTCCAACCAACTGAGCCACACCAGCCAGGGCTCTTCTTATGTTTAAAAATTACCCCAGTTAACAATGATAAAAAGAGGCTATGTTATTTAACACTGCCTTTCTGTTATTAATTTTCCATTTTTTATTGTGAAAGCCAATTAACAATGAACATTGTGTTGAATTATTCTTAGAATATTTACAAGCACAGTTACTAAATCAGTGAAGCAATTAAGACTCAGATGTATATAAAAAACCATTTAAATATAAAAAGCAATATAATAACATTAAAGAAACTTTTATAAATTTAAAACATTTTTCATTTCACATGCAAATGTTTATACATGGTTTTATTAAGAGTCTCAGGCTCTACCGACTGAGCTAGCCGGGCGCGATTACATGGTTTTATTAATAATGTAAGATTTCATGTTGTCAACCAGGGCTGATTTTGCCCCCACCCCCACCCCCAGGCACATTTGGCAACATCTGGAAATATTTTTGATGGTCACAACTGGAGATGAGATGGGGGAAGGGAAGGACTGCTACTGGCATCTAATGGGTAAAGACCCAGGATGCTGCCACTAAACATCCTACGATACACAGGGCAACCCCACAGCAAAGAAATCGTCTGCAAAAAATTATCCAGCCCAGATGTCAGTAATGTCGAGGTTGAGAAACTTGCTTTGGATTATAGTAAAAAAAAAAAAAAAGCTGTCCCCGTGATTTTAATAGAGGAATTATGTTTTCAACCATTTATTGAGTAGCCAGGCTCTATGCTAAGCACAATACATACATTATCTTATTTAACGCTAACAAAATCCTGTGAGGTTTTGAAGGTTAGTAGATGATGTTTCAAAGAAATTACATGACTGTTCAAGGTCACAGTAAGAGCAGATGGGGATTTAGAATGCCTCCTGTCTGACTTCAAAGCCTGTGCTGTTAGTGAGTATGTGTAAATAATGTCATAATGAACATGGTCATATACAGATTTTTACACTTTAAGAATTATTTCCTAGCTTACTTTGAAACTATTGTTTTAAAGGGCCAAAGGAAATTGGCAATTAGGCTGATCTTTCCTACATTGTTTTCAAATTGATTTTCCAGAGTTGTACCAATTTATAGCACCACCATTAAATGTGAGAAAATCCTTTCAGTAAACTGACATCAGCATTGACTTTTCACATTTAAAAACATAATTCTTTATTTATTTAATAAGTTAAAAAGTACATATATGACCTTAAATAATAAGCAATTGCTGGAATTTGTCTCCCTAAATGAGGAGAACAATAAGAAGAAAGTCAAGCCAATGTAAATAAAGCTTGTATTTCAAAGAATCATCTTCATTTATTCAACAAGTGCAGTTATTTGACTAATAAAGGCTTAGTCCCAAGAAAAACATTGCTGGTTACTCTGTAAACTTTATTTCAAATCTTTTGTTTAAATAAGCCTATGAAGAGCAAATGAGAGAATTGGGTTTAATAGTTTGAAATGTTTTCTCTGATAATATTGGTGTCTTCTTTTTGCCGCACCCCAGAAAGAATGAAAAATAGATCTTCCCTGTGAATTGAGGATAGACTATTACCCATACACCCCATAACTATCCTTCCTAGAAGCCTGACAGTCAATAACAATAACAGCAACAACAAGAATACAATCATCTAGTCCAGTATTTTTTACATAGTAGTTGTATCTCATTAGTGGATCCAGCAACCACGTTAGTGGGTTTTGACTAGAGTGTTTAACATGAGAATAGACTAGAAAATAATGTAAAATTAGCAACTGCAATGCTTGTAATAAGCCTAAAAGTTATTTGTGAAACTTAGGTTTGGGGTGTGTGTGTGTGTGTGTAAGTGATGGAGTAAAATTCTCTGTGCTTTGCAGTCTGAAAGGTTGAAAAACCTTATCTAAGCTACCTACTTCATTTGAAAGGTGAGTCTGAGTGACATTAAATGATGCACAAGGGGTACAGAGCAGGTTAATGACAAAGCAGTAGGAAGAAATATCACTTAATATAATACATAGCATTTTTCTTGAATATTCAACACGTATAAGCAGAGTTTTCAAGTTTGGCAGCAAGAAAGGAAGATTCTTGAGGTGTACCCCTACAGACTCATGCTATATAGAGGAAAGCCATGCCAAATTTAATTTTAGTTAGGAAACCTTGGTACAACTCTTGATTTAGATCATCATATAATTATTATGTGACATCAGGGCAAAAGAACAGAGCTTTTTTTGTTCTGAAAATGCACGTTTTTGTTAATGTTATTAAAGAGGAAATATTTTTATGTGCCTGTCCAATTACACTTCTTAAAAAGTATTAGTTGTGTCTATTTTTCGCCTTATTAAAAAAATATTCTGCCCAGCCAGTGTGGCTTAGTGGTTGAGCGTCGATCTATGAACCAGGAGGTCATGGTTTGTGGCTTGATTCCCGGTCAGGGCACATGCCTGGGTTGCTAGCTCAACCCCCAGTGTGGGGCATGCAGGAGGCAGCTGATCAATTATTCCCTCTCATCATTGATGTATCTATCTCTCTCTCCCTTCCTCTCTGAAATCAATACAAATATATTTTTAAAAATTCATCGTCTTGGGTAACTTTTTATCATTAGTATGTACTTAGTTTTCTATTTGGCACCATAACAATTACCACAAGTTTAGCAGCGTAATGGACACAGATGTATGGTCTTACAGTTCTGCAGGTCAGAAGTCTGACATGTGTCTCACCAGGCTAAAATCAAGGCATGGGTGGGCTGCTTCTCTCAGTGGGGGCTGGGCAGCATCTGTTACCTGCCTTCCAGCTTCTAGAGACCACCTGCATCCTTCGCCCCTTCCTCCACTTCAAATGGCAAAGACATGATGGCGTCCTCACAGCACACCAGGCCAATCAACACTCTGCCTCCCACTTTCATTGTTAAAAGACCCTTGTGATTACATGGGGCCCACCTGGATACTTCAGAATGCTCTCCCTATTTCCCAGTTTAAGGTCAGCTGATTAGCAGTCTTAATTCCCATTTGCCATAAAACATAACATATTCTCAAAGTCCAGGGATTAGGATACGGACTTCTTTGAGTATATGCTTGGGGGGGCATTATTCTGCCTACCACAGTATACCTTATCAATATTTAAAGTCTTGTAAGAAAGGACTATTGCAATTTGAATACAGATAAAATTTGCTTAGTGCCATTACATCAAAATGGTGCTCAGGTTGAATTTATCACTGGTGAAAATTGCTGCAGTTCCTATGAAGTGAAATATTCCTCAGCTAGTTGCATCTACATTGATTCCCATATACTCCTTTTCCAGTACTGGAAATCTTGGGGTGTAATTACTCTATGTGATTAAATGGACCCTTCATCTCTGGGACCTCTCCAAAATTTATTGAGATGAAGAGGGTTATTTGAGTAGTGTAGCACAGTGTTTCTCAAACAGGGCAATCTTGCTCCCCTGGGGATATTCGGCAATGTCTGAAGACATTCTTGATTATCACAGTTGGGGGGTATGTATTACTGGCATCTAGGGGGTAGAGGCCAGGGGTGCTGCTGAACATCATACACTACACAGGACGGGTCCTATAGCCAAGCATTATCCAGCCCAGAGTGTCAGTCAATGATGCCAAGTTAGAGAAACGTTGGCTTAGCAAGATGACAACCTAAAACTCCCCTCTCCCCTTTTAAGGCGAATTCTTTACGTTTCAAAGGTGCATTAGATAATTTCTAACTAGAAAATAGGTCAGCAACAGCATTTGGTCAAAGAACAACTGAAAGAGATAGAGATGCGTGGATCAGTGTACACCAATCTTCTAGGAAAACTCAAAGCTCAAAACCTACTCCTGGGATAGACAATTCATTATCCTCATTGGGTGATCAGGAATGATTTCTCTGTCCCCAGTTCCCAGCACATCAAATATCAAATGCTCAAGAAGTATTTTAACAAATAAAAAGCATAGTGTGTTAAAAGATTTATGTTAAACATGTCGTGAACAAGCTGTCTTTCTCTGTATGCCTAAAATTGCAATGTCATATAAGAGCAACCCTGGAATTGCTCTCACTTAATTAGCACTAAGAATCTTGAGCAGCCTGTTTCCAGGGCCTGCACTTCTTAGAAGCCATCTGGAAAATCCTAAAAAAATAAATAAATAAAATTAACATTGGGATTGCACATACATTTAATTAAAGGCCATTAAGAGACCAAAAATCCCCAACCTTCTCTGTGGTTTTACACCACAGTATTTCTTAAACTCTATGTGTGTAAGCAAACTTTTCAGGCTTGGTCACACACACTATGAAAAAAAATCAATAGATTCTTTTTACTGGTGGCAAAGCCAAGCCCATAACCACCAAGTATTCACACCATAATGATGAGAAATCTGATGTGAAAGATAATATATTCAAAGAAAATGACTTGGAGGGTTAATTGAAGAAATTGACACCCTTCTCTCTTGGTTCTCATTTATGCTTTTCTTCTTTGTCAACATTGCAGGTGTCCCTGGCTCCATGCCAAATGCATCATGGACTGGTAACCTCAGAGCCGTGAAGTGGATTGACATGGAAGACAAACACGGAGGCTGCCATGGTGAGGCATGCATCTCATACTTTAAAGCCATACTGCTTGTTGGTGTTGGCATGAAGGAAGTTGTAAAATACAGGGTTTTCATGGAGAGAACTGCAGGTATATTTTAACCAATCTGCGAGTGATTAAAAGATTAGCTAGAGGCTTTTAGACACAGTTCTTGAAAAATACATTTAAACATTGTCCAGGTAGGTTCAAATTATAGTGGTACTTTCTTCTTGGTAGTTTCTGCTTTCTTATTATTGCTTATTCCTCTTTCTGTTCCTTTGGGGATTGCAGGGGTTAGGAAAGTGGTAGGGGTGAGTAGTGATATCATCCAAGAGCAGGCTGGACCCCATCCCTCTCAGCAGCCTCTGCTCCCTCCACAGCCAGGCTTCCAGTTCGGAGGTGTTTACTGCAGCTCTGGCCTGATGGCAAGTGGCATTCATGAGAGATTTCTCTTCCAATGGACAAGAACTTGAAATCCCAAGTAGTCTTGTTTCTATAGAACCTTATGAAGAAGGGTTTTTATAAGTTCTGTTTACATTTCATTCAAACTATTGCCTTCTACATAGTGGGCATGTGTGTTTGTTTGCTAGGGCTAACATAGCAAAGTCATTCTACACATAACCACAAACTGGGTAGCTTACACAAAGGAAATTTATTTCCTCGCTGTCATGGAAGCTGGAAGTCCAAGATCACAGTGTCATTGGTTTCTTCGGAGGGCATGCTCCTTGGCTGATAGAAGGCTGCCTTCTCCCTGTGTCCTCACATGGACTTCCCTCTGTGTGTATCTGTGTCCTAATCTCTTCTTAAAAGGACGCCAGTCATATTGGATTAGTGTCTACTCCTATGACCTCATTTTAACTTAATTATCTCTTTAAATATAGTCATAGACTCAGGTACTGGGAGTTAGGACTTGCATATGTGAATTTTGGGGGTACACAACTCTGCCCGTAATAGCACACAATTAATATTTATTCAGTGAGTGATTAAGTGAATGAATGAATGACTATGGAAGTTTTACCTATTTTCCCTGCGATAATAAGTCTTTGCCTTCTCCACTCTTATATTCAATCCAGAGCCTCACTTATCAATCCATTTTCTCTACAACTAATTGTAGATTGCTGCTTTCCATACCTCTCCATCACACTCAGCCTCCATATATATATATAGATGTAGCCTTTTTTTCCCCCATTGACCCCCTCTAGGCCACCCCTCTCACCCTCTATCCCCCCACACACCCCGCCCCAGGCCTTCAGCTCCCTATTGTCTGTGCCCATGGGTTATGCATATGAGAATACAAGGTCTTTGGTTGATTACCTTCCACTCACCCACCTTCCCCTGCCTTCCCTCTGAGAGTCCACACTCTGTTCCATGCCTCCATGTCTCTGCTGTCTTTCTCTTGAGAGTCCCACCCCACTGTGGATGGCAACGTCCTCACATCACTGTACAGAAATTTCAGTCTATTCTTTAGCACATTTATATCTTTACTTTATTCAGCCCACATTTTCTCAGAAGACAGCTCATGCCACCTGCCTGCACTCTCACCATAGCCTGCCCTTCTACTGGAAGGAGGAGAATGGGAGGAGGTGGCTTTGCTCTTAGAGCTCCTGGATCATCTTTAGAAAACAGACCATCACCATCAGTTACGGTCCCAATATTCGGGCTATAGTGTCTTCTCCACACCCTTCCATAACCCCTACCATCCTCCTAGGACCACTGCAGTCATCCTCTGATCTGCTTCTCCACCTCCTCTCCAGCTGAAGACTTGAGGACTTCAACATCCCCAACAGGGACCCACATGACATCATTCCTTTGTAGCTCTAGCCCTCCCGAACCACAGAAGCTCCCGTTCCCACTGTGCAGTAGCCACTGCACCTCAGTCTCCTTGTCATCACCTCTATCCAGACCCTGTCCCAGTAGAGAAGGTGTAGGCCAGAGATGGCGAACCTTTTGAGCTCGGCGTGTCAGCATTTTGAAAAACCCTAACTTAACTCTGGTGCCGTGTTACATAGAGAAATTTTTTGATATTTGCAATCATAGTAAAACAAAGACTTATATTTTTGATATTTATTTTATATATTTAAATGCCATTTAACAAAGAAAAATCAACCAAAAAAATGAGTTCGCGTGTCATAGGTTCGCCATCACTGGTGTAGGCTATCAGGTTTGCACTTTTTTAGGAACCTTTACTGATCATATGATAGGAGGGGGCCTGGAGAGAAGCCCCTAGCCAGGGAACCTACACTGGGTACGAAGCTCAGATAGCCCAAGACCCTCTCAGACAAATGTCTCATTTTTCTTCTCTTGGTACCTGTTGTGCCAATGAACATCTGAAAGCCTTATCAAGTTCAGAGCATAAAAATTATTTGTCTCCCAGCCCTGGCCAGTGTGATTCAGTTGGTTGGGCATCATCTTTTACACCAGAAGGAGGCGGATTTGATTCCCACTCTGGGCACATAACCAGGTTGTGGGTTCAATGCCCAGTCAGGGTACATGTGGGAGGCAACCAATCAATGTTTCTCCCTCACATCAATGTCTCTCTCTAAAATCAATTAAAAATAAAAATAAATTATTTTTCCCAAATAACTATAGAGGAAAAAGAAACAGACATAATCCAACAGAAGTAGAACATTGCATGCCAAGTCAGCAAGCCAGTAATACAATCTGGACTTTTTCCCCTTGGCTGTGAGTAATAGGATTTGTTTCAAACTCATGTGTGTACCTGCTTTACGAGTCTTCTTAGCACGTAGACTCACAGAGCATCATTCTAGCTTTATGGTCTTGGACTTAGAGCTTACATTTCTGATTATCATCTCTTTGTCACACTACTAATTTCCTTCACCAATTTATGTATTATGTATACTTACTTTCTCCCGGGAACAGAATAGAAGTTCTAAGAGGGCTAGGATTTTTGACCAAATTGTTCATTGTTATTTTAAATGTGTTTGCTTTTTTTAAATTGGGATTTTCAGAGGTTCAACTTTTCCAGCCTCTTCCTTGTACTGGTTTCCTTCGGGATTCCTTGTGCAGCCTCTGTACTCTATTGGCCATCCCATGCTGTCTTCGGCCATCCCATGCTGTCTTCACTAGCATTTGAGGTTCCCTCGCCATTTGACCCTGCAAGACTGATTACTACACTTGATCTTTATTGGCATCTGCTTTTTGCCACTTGTGTTTCCCTAAACAGAACATTGCTGGAGCATGGGTAAGGGACCTGACATTTAACTTCAGCTAGATGCTCCAAAGTACCTACTTATTCTCTTATCTACCTCGTTATTTTCCTGGTGCCCTTCCCGGCATATACCATTTTAGTTTTCCTGCTCACCTCTAAGCTCTTAATCTTATGCTAAAACACTCTTTAAAACAATGAATATTTCAATTCTAGGAAGAACTTTCAAGACATTTAATCAAAATCCCCTTACCAGTTCCTTTTCCATATCATCCCTTTTCTCCATCTTAGAGTATTTTTGACACATTCTCTCATTATTCCTTCCTATTTCAAGAGGAAAAGTTACTCATTCTCACCACCAAGGTCACCATCTGTGGTCTCAGTTATGTGTGGGTCCCCTACATGCTCCCCTTGCTCTCTTGCATTCTCAGTGTCTTTCTCTCTGATGATTTTTTTCCTTTTCTCTGCAAGTATGTATTTACTGCCTCTATCCTCAAGATCAAGTTGTCCACGCACCCTCTGTTGATACAAACTGAAGTATTCTCTCCTGTTCATTTCCATTTTTTAAGCATGGGTATGCTGCCTATGTGTTCAGTTCTCCTCACCACCAAGTTGTTCTTGAACTTCTCACCCAGTTATTCTTTTACTTCCCATAACTCTGGCTTCTTTCCCCAGAGATTTCCTCTCAATTATACTTCCTCCCTGCCACATTGAATTAATCATCAAGACCTGTCAGTCCTTCTGTATTCTATCTCTAATATCCTTTCTTTCCCACTCATGGAAACTATTAACCTTGAATGAGCTTTCTGGTTTACAATAAGTTATTACTGTAGTCTCTTGATTGACTTCTAATGTACCCTGCCAAGTTCTGCAAAATTAATATTGCTAAAATGAATTTTACCATTTGAGTCATCTATTCAAAAATCTTCAAAAAATCTCCATAATTATGGGATAAAAAAGGCACAAGTCTTTTTAATTTGTTTTAAGTCAGTCATCCATAATAGTTCTACTTTATGCCATGCAACCTCTGAAAAAGAGTTCCAACTTCCTACCATTCTGTTTCTAGGCCATTCCTCAATAAAACTACTTATTCTTGCAGAAAATTCTCATCTCTACAGTTTTTTAGAGGCATTTTCCCCAGTTGAAACCACCACCCATCCCCCTGATACTTGCTAATTCTACCCATCCACTAACTCTCCACTCCTCCTTCTCCATCCTTTTATTCAAAAAGTATTAATTTAATACCTAATATTTACCAGGCTCTGTTCCAGATGCAGGGGACACAGAAGTGAACAATCTGGTCTCAAATGCCAGCTCTTCTGGAGCTTATATTCCAATCTGGGGAGAAAGACTATAAACAAAATACTATTTTCCTTCATGGCACTGATATATACATCAGTTAGTAATAAGTGCAAGAAGAAAAATGAATCATGGAAAGAGGAAAGGAGGACAAAGAAGGCCACTCTGAGAAGATGGCCTTGAAGCAGAGACCTGGGGTAGTGCAAGAGGGAGCCTCTGGGGGATGTCTAGTGAAAGGGGGCAGCCCAGGGGAGGAAGAGCAAACAGGGATTCTCAAGTAAAACATGCCTGGTGTTCTTGGGACCAGCAAGAAGGCCAGTGTGTCCAAAATGAATGAGCAAGGGTTATTAAGGATTATAATAAGTGGTGGGAGGTAAGTCCAAGGGCTAGACTCTGAGAAGTCTTTTTTAAAAATCCTATCTAATAAAGAGGGAATATGCAAATTGACCATCACTCTGTCACAAAGATGGCAGCATCCATAGCCACAAGATGGCGGCACCCAGTCCCCTCAGCCCCACCGGAGTCCCCCAGTCCTTTCAGCCCTGCGAGGGTGGGGGGGAAGGGAGTGCCACAGGCGTAGGTGCGGCCGGACCTGCCCTCAGCCCCGCAGCTGCCCAGGGCTGCTCGAGGCTCAGGTAACCAGGGCTGGCCAAGGCTTGCGCTGCTGGCAGTGGCCTAATGGCCGGGTCACTTCCTGCCCCTGAGGGCTCCTGGATTGTGACAGGGGGCAGGCCAGGCTGAGGACACCCCCCATCCAGTGCATGAATTTTCATGCACTGGGCCCCTAGTATGTATATATATGTATATATATATATTTTATTGATTTCATAGAGGGAGGGGGTATCAAACTGTGACCTCCTGGCTCATAGGTCGACACTCAACCACTGAGCTATGCTGACTCTGAGAAGTCTTAAATGCCATTGCTAGGATTTTGGCTATTGTTCCACATAGATGAGAAGCCATTTAAGCAGAGGAGGCATGGTCTGCTTACATTTAAAACTCATTGTGGCTATCATGCTGAGAATATTACTAATAGGCAGAGGTGGAGTCAGTGAAACCAATTATTATTACAAAAGCTCAAGACAGGAAGATGGAGGTGACTCGGACCAGGATGGCAATAATGAAGGTGGTGAAAAGTAGTCAAATTTTATTTTAATATTTTGAAGATTGAACTGACAGGATTGCTGAGAAGTTGGATGTGGAGTGTGAAAGAGAAGGGAGAAGTGCAGAAATCATCAGAGAATAGAATTGCTGTGGATTTCAATGGGGAAGACTTGGAGAGGACTAAGGAGTTCAGTCCTGACAAGTTATTATTGGTTAGGTTTATTACTTATCTAAGAGAGGGTATAAAGTAGGCATTTAGAGAGACTAGGCTGGAGCTCAGGGAAGAGGCCTGACCAGTGTGACCCATTAAGCCATCTGCACACTTCTAGAACCTCTCATCCATAACTCTTAATAAGATAATACATGAATTGCCTCATGATGCCTAGAGTGTTATTGCTTTGTGTTATTTAACTCTCATTTTCTTTAAAGACATATTATGCCCTTTGTCTTTCCATAAACCGTTGAACTTCTTTGTAGGGTGTCTCTACACTATCATGTTTCATTAGAATTCCATAGCACTTGGTCCAGTGTTGGCTACTCAGTAGTCAAGCAGTAACTGGACCACTGCAAGTTCATGGCCCCTAACTTTTGAAAGCAAGCATGTTTGATGTTTTTTGTTTTCTCCTTTGCAGGCCATTACGTGCGTGGCATTTGTATCTATGGAAATGGAGACTTAAAGTGGTTGATTAATTCGCCAAGCCTTTTTGCTAACAAGTTTGAACTTACTACATACCCCCTTACTGTGGAATGCCTAGAACTGAGACTTCGAGAAAGAACCTTAAATCAGAGTGAAACTGCAATACAACCCAGCTGGTATTTTTGATCGCCTGCAACTTGTGATTGAAGGGAAGTCGCTGTTGGGAAGAAGAGCTTTTGAGAGAGGACTTCACCTTGGCCAACAGTTTCAGGACTGAGGTCATGACCTCAGGATCGGGCTCCACTATTATATGTTGAAATATCCACTGGACAATAATAGGAGGCTGTGCAGAGTGGTCCTGGCCCTTTGTCCACTCTGGCTGTTTCCTAATGCTCACCTCTGTGCCAGCTTGTTGTTCTGATCAATGATCATTTTCACTATTGTCACATCTTTGCACCAGATATTCACTATATATAAATGTTCTAATCAAAAGGAGAAGTGTATGTAATATGATTTAGGAAAGAAGAACTGGGTTTCTTTGAAGAGGGAATCTTTTATAACAGACCTATAGCCGCATATTAATGAACACCACTCTTCTTTGCTCAACTGTACATAGATGTACAAGCAGCTTTCTGGATAACTCACCGATCGCCTTTCAAACTTGAGCTACTAGAACTGAAGAACTAGATCCTGTTCCTGAGTTTTAGCACTAGCATTTTCAGTTTTCTTGCTGAAGTTCTGTATAAACTCATTAACAGGAGGCAGAATGTGCTTTAAGTAGTCACTGCCTGCTGCTTCAGTAAAAGGACTCCAGGGAAGCAGAACATTTCTCGATTATATCAGAATGTGTTCTGATCCCCCTTTCATCATTTTTCATTGAGAACACTGAAAAGTTCTCACAGAATGAAGAAACTCCTAGAAGAGAGGTGGTATTGCATGGATCTAGTCTCAAGTCTCTTATACCTCAGAATGAACCAATCTCGTCTGCCACCACCCTCCACCCCCACCAAAGTTATCTTAACTGCAAAATGGAGACCAAATTCTATCCTTGAGGCTTTAACAAGGCTATAGTGTTCTCTGAGTGGCTTAACAATGTCTGGTGCTGATAAGAATGCCTAGATTTTTAAGAGCTTTAAATTGTGGGTAAGCATCCCTGCCATTTATCTCTTGTCCATTCCCTCATCCAATTCATTCAGCATGCCATCAGTAAATATTTATTGTCTACTATACACCAGACACATGCTGAGACAAAGAGGGAAAAGTAAGACACAAGCTTTTTCACTCTAAAAATCTTGGTAATGTGAAGGTTGCATAGACTGCTCTAGAGAACCTTAGATAATGGTTGTATTTTAATACATTCACATGTAGATTGTAGATTGTGATATCGAACCAAGGATCTCAGTAATTACAAACTGAGGTTTAAGTCAGAGATCACTCAAAAGAGAGAAGGGAAAGAAGCTAAAAAAGTCTATGTGTCCAAGACATTCTGCTAGCTCACTGCACTTAAACCTCACAGCACTCTTGTGAGGTCCTCATTACCCCTGTTTTGCAGATGAAGTGAGTGAAGCTTAGAGAGGTTGTTACTAAGCATTAGGAAACAAGCTCTCTATCTGACAATTGGGATTCTCCTACTGGTCTTAGTTCATTTCTTGGGGTGGAATATTAAAGAAGGTGAAATATAGCCAGATAAGGTAGGTTTTAAGAATGATCTCAGTGTTAATATTGAGAAAATGTCGTGTCACCTCAGAAAAGTGTGAAGTCTACTTTTGTATTCCTCTAATCCAGTGGTTCTCAACCTTCCTAATGCCACGACCCTTTAATACAGTTCCTCATGTTATGGTGACCCCTAACCATAAAATTATTTTTGTCGCTACTTCACAACTTTAATTTTGCTACTGTTATGAATCGTAATGTAAATATCTGATATGCTATATGTGTTTTCCAATGGTTGCGACCTACAGGTTGAGAACCACAATCCATTGAGCTCCTTAATATTTATTTATCCTCATGAAAAGCAGTTACTTCAACTAATGATGCATTTAATTAACACAATTTTTCTTTTTTTCCTATAATTGTGCCTGTTGAATGTTAATCATATTTAAAGAGAATGACTGAAATAAAGCCTTCTTTGTTCCTGCTGCTTAAAAAGATGGAAGTGCATTGGGTGGTAAATGGCTGAGGGTTAGGGAACACACCGAGAGCTAATGGCAAAGTCATTTTTCAACTTACTTAAATGACACCACCTAGAAGAAATGTTTTACACTGGATATTCTCACATAGAATGAGAAATCTTTTGGAATAGATGTTTACATGTCCATTGCTAGTCACCTCTCCTGTGTCTTTAATACTTCAATCTTGGAAGTGTGTAGTGTTGGACTAGTGGCTTTCTCCTTTCCAAGGAGATGACCCAAAACTACTGAATCTGTCTTTGTTTTGGATGATGTTACATGTTGTTTTCTTGGAAATAAATTAATATATTGTTTTCCACCTTTGGGGCTGTTATGCATTTTTTTAAAAAATTTTTAAATATATTTTTATTGATTACAGAGAGGAAGAGAGAGGGAGAGAGTGATAAAACATCAATGAAGAGACAATCATTGATCGGCTGCCTCCTGCATGCCCCCCACTGGGGATCGAGCCTACAACCTAGGCATGTGCCCTTGACCAGAATTGAACCAGGGAACTTTCAGTCCTCAGGCCAACGCTCTATCCACTTGAACCAAACCAGCTAGGGCTGTTATGCATTTTTATTTGAGGGTTGGTTAATAGCCACTATTCCTGTGTGAGCCACTCTGATGGAACCTCAGATATGGCTGCCAGTCAGCTCTATGATGGGGTTAGTCTCCTCATAGGAACAATGACCCTGCGAGCACCCCTGTCCAGAAGAAAGCTGTCCCTGCATTCTTGCTCCAATGCTGGACAATGCAGTTCCTTCCCATATTTCCCTGGATCCCCACAGCCACTGCCCCAGCCCTGGAGCTCAGAGGGAGTGAGTCCAAGTAGGCAGACAGTGAGTCCAAGTAAGCTTGTCTGCCAGCCCTTTAAGAGGAACTGCCTGGGTCTCCACCAGCTTCTGTGTTACTCAGCCACAATCCCTGCTGGTTTTTACAGCCTGAAGTTCTGGGGACTTCTCTTCCCAGCTCTGGAACCCTGGGGTGGGGGTATGGTGTGGGGCTGGGACCCCTTGTTCCTCACAGGAAACCCCCACAGCCGAGATATCCCTACTGGTTAAAAAAACACCACATGTGGAGGTCAAACCAGCCTGTTTCACACTTCTGCCCCTTCTACCAGTCTCAATATGCTTTCTTCTTTATTTCTCTAGTTGTAAGACTTTCCATTCAGCCAGCTTTCGGGCAGTTCTGAATGATGGTTATTCTGTATTTTAGTTATGATTTTGATGTGGTTATGGGAGGTGGTGAGTACCAGTGTTTACCCACACCACCATATTGGTTCGCCTCTGCAATACTATTTTAAATATTAGCAGTATAGCAGCAATCCTTGACTTGTTCCCAACATTAAAGGGCATGTTTAACTCTTGTGCATGTTGTTAGAATTTTCGTGTAAGTTTCTGGTAGATAACTTTTTATTGAGTTAAGAATAAGAATACCAGAATATAAATATAAATATATTATGTTTTTCTTTTTAATTCCCAGTCGCTATTTCTTTTTTGTTGCTTCATGGAATTATGGGTGATTTGGGTATTTTAATTTTTTATTTGCACATGTTACTTCAGAGGTGAGAAGTCACTAATTTTTTAAACAGTAAGAATGTAGTATAGCAGTCTACATCAGGGGAAACTGGAGCAGGGGCCCATTTGGACAGACTAGGTAAGTAGTTGGGAGTTTGGAAGACGAATGCCTGAACTGGAAGGTTCCTACTCCCTTTTCTTTTTTAATTATTTTTTACTGTTTTTGTTTGTTTGTTTTGTTTTGTTTCAGAGAGAGAGGAAGGGAGAAGAGAGAAATATCAATATGAGAGCACAATATCAATCGGCTGCCTCCTGCATGCCCCCCACCAGGAATCAACCCCACAACCCAGGTGTGTGCCCCACTGGGAATTGAACCAGCAACCTCTCATTGTACTAGACAACACCCAACCAACCGAGCCACATGGGCCAGGGCACAGCTCCCTCTATGGTCAATTTGACTTAGGGATTAAGTGGTCAAGCTAATGGGAAAGATACTGGAGGTCAACCTTCTCCAAGGGACAAGTTCTGACCTTGGAAAGAAGACTAACAGTGATGTCTCTGACAGGAAGAGAGTAAAAGGTGAAGCTGACCATTCTCACTTTTTTGTGGGGAACACCTGTAAGCTTTGAAAGTGGTGGCCATCTTTGGTGGCTCTCTGAAAGATTAACTTTGACTAGTCCAGTTGTGAGCCCAGGAAGCCTGACCGACATCTAAGGAAGGATTCTGGGCCCATATTAGATGGGTGAGCTGAATAATCTAAAACTAAAGGTTTCTTAAGAAAAGCAGACAAAGTTCAGAAACTGATGGCCAGCATCAAGTGTCAAACTATAGAAATGAATTTCAGGCATTATGTGATCAGGAGTTGAGGATGTTAGGAAAAATAGTTGAAAAAGTTAGTGCAAGATTACAGTGAATTATTTATGAACTTCACGCCATTTATTTCAGTTAAAATGAATTATTAGTGAAATTCAGGCTATCAGCTATCTACAAGGCAAAAATATAGGGTTCAAGAGGGCTTTATAAAAGTTTTATTTTGAAATACGTAACTTTAGACTTAGGGAAAAAGTTACAAAAACAGTACAGAGAGTTCTTGTAGATCTTTCACCCAGCTTTTCCTAATGCTTAACATTTTGTATAGCCAAAGTTAAATTCTCTAGACCAGTTTTGTTTTGCTATTAATTCTGTGCTGGCTGTGTTGAGAGTTGGAGCCAGCTGACTCTGACCTTTGCATAGGCCAGACCAGGTGGGTAAGGAGAGCCCCAATAACCTGTTGTGCCATCACATCAAACCAAATGACAGAAAGAGACTGGTTTCAGGAGATGCTTCCTGATAAAAACAGTATTATGGAAAGGAAAACTCCAAACATTCTCTATTTCAATCTATGGAGATAAGATAAAAGAGAGGGATGAGAAAGAAGAACAGATTTATAGTCATATCCCTAAGAAAATTGTGGAGGAAAAGCAGGTGTGTGGCAGTTAAAATATGTCTTGCACCTTACAGATCACTGGTTGGAAAATTCTAATTTAGATTTATTTTCTCAGGATTTTTCTAAATACATTTAATGAGTCCTGAAGAACTAAGAGGAAAAGCACTGATTACTGCCATGTCTACACATTTAAACTCTTTGCCTTTGATGATCCTCTTCCACATACCTCCGAGCAGGTGAGGTGTGGTAACTTCATGATTAGCATTCACATGATGGCTTTCACAGATGACTCATCTGTAAGTACTTGAATTAGATTTTCCAACTGCACCATGGTATCAGAGATGACCCAGTGAAAAAAGATTGGTTTAAAGAGTAACCACAGCAATAGCTTGATAATTGGGGGGGGATAACAGTTACAAAAAGCAACAGAGCCGAAGCCTGTTTGGCGCAATGGGTAGAGCATTGGCCCTTGGACTGAAAGGTCCTGGGTTCTGTTCTGGTCAAGGGCATGTACCTTGGTTGCAGACTTGATCCCTGGCCCTGATGAGGGCATGTTCAGGAGGCAACCAGTTGGTGTGTCTTTCTCATATCAATGTTTCTCTCTCTGTGTGTCTCTCCCTCTCCCTTCCATTCTCTCTGAAAATCAATGGAAAAATATCTCAAGTGAGGATTAAAAACAACAAAAGCAACAGGGTGACTTAAATCCATTATAGGCTGATAGAGAAATATTTGAACACATAAAACATTTACTAAAACACTGTCATTGGCCCTACCCAGTTTGACTCAGTGGATAGAGTGTCGGCCCACTGACTGAAGGGTCCCAGGTTCGATTCTGGTCCAGTACATACCGTGTGTGGGAGACAACCAATCAATGTGTCTCTCTCACATCGATGTTTCTCTCCCTCTGTCTTTCCCCATCCCTTCCACTCATTCTAAAAACTAATGGAAAAATATCCTCAGGTGAGGATTATCAAACAAACAAATAAATAAAATGCTTTAAAACACAAACATTGTAGTCATTACCATTCATGGGAATTTTCCTATCTGGATATAGGATCAAGAAACTTCTGAGAAATGATGGGAATCTGGTTAGATGTTATTTTAAAATCCTCCACAAATAATAAAATTTGGTATGCAAATGTGTGTTCATAGCATTTTTGAGCAGAAAAATGCCATTCATTCATTCATTTATATATTTAACTGTGCCAGGCTCAGGTTCTAAGTATAAAGCTATGAGTTAAAACTGGTAGATCTTTTATATTCTAGTTGAAGAAATCAAAAAATTACAAATATATGCCAACAAACAAGATACTTTTAGACAGTGATT